GGGCGGCAGGAAGCAAACCCCATCTTTATGCCTTCGCAGGTCAGGACTAAAGCTCAAGCTATGCTAGAATCACAGACTGATCATCAACCTGCTTCGTCTTGGAAGGAATCACTCGTTGCTGATGTTCTCTGGTTTAGTGTTCTCTCTACAAAGCCCACAGCCCGTCACCTCTGGTCATCCCACAACATATTAAGCAACCAACAGCGGCAACGGTACATCCTTATCTCTGGCCAGAAAAAATTCTCATTCATTAAATGCCACTTGCTGGCAATCCAGAGACAAACTCACTGACCTAGAAGGGTTCTCCAGTTCCTTCTGGCAGTAGGAGTTGCAATTACATATGCTGATGCTAAATGGCTTAGCATTAACAGCAAACCGGCTTAAGTGCCCTGCCCCAGAAGGTTAAACTATGATGAACCTCTTCAAAACGCTCACTGCAATGGCTGAGCACTAGGCTTTGCGGCACAAGGTTGAGGATTAGGAAGAAATTTTTCCCTGTGCGGGGGGTGAGGCAGTGGCCCAGGTTGCCCAGAGAAGCTGTGGATGCCCCATCCCTGGAGGGGTTCAAGGCCAGGCTGGATGAGGCTTTGGGCAACCTGGGCTGGTGGGAGGTGTCCCTGCCCATGGCAGGGGGTTGGAACTCAATGATCTCTAAGGTCCTTTCCAACCCAAACCATTCTGTGATTCTATGGTTCTATGATCAGTCTTCCTCTCCACTCGCTGTGTGGCTGTACAGCCAGCAGAAAGAGCCAATCCAGACCAGAACATTTGACAGATTACTTCTGAAATGTAAATAAATAGCCCAATGGAATTAAATTTTATATTCATCTATGCATACGGGTATTTTACCATTATAACGATTTATGTTAAAATCATTATTTCTTCTTTAAGGATCTTAAAAAATTCAGCAGCTTGGGACTTGGCTTTGCAAATTCCCACGTGTTGACAAGCTGTCCTGTCTGCCCTGCAGGTCACCCGGGCTCCAGGCACGATTGCCAGCCTGCCCCGGATGGTCTGCTGCGATGGCAGCTCAAGTGTATGACGTTTAGATTTTTTTTAATTTTTTTTTTTTTTTGCCAAGCATCCACCTAAGCAGCTGCATTAGAAAAAGTTTCCTTAAAAAAAAAAAAAAATTATGCAGAAGACCTCTACCAGAAAGTTCTCCAAACATGTCTAAAACTGCTCTGCTCACTGCAGGAACCTCAGATGTTCCAAAAATGTGGGTTCCTCAGACACCAAGCAGAACTGCGTGACTTGCACAGTGAACCTCTGAAGCCCTTAGAAACTCCTAGTTCCAAGCCACAATTGTTGCTGTATTCTGCCGAGGAACAGAATCTGAAATTGCCATTTTCTCTCTAGTTCTAAAAAAGCAATCTGGTCCGCAGCATGATTGATTTGGCTCTACCCCGTACGTATTTTGCTGCTAATAACTGCTAGCCCACTGGGAAACCACTGGCTGCATCCCTCATCTGAACGGTGGAGGGAAGAGACGGGCAGCTGCAGCCTCACCCCACAATGCGAGAGTCCTCCCGCACCGGCCGGTGCTATGGAGGTGACTGACACCTCTCATGTCCCCTCTCATCTCCAAAGCAAGTCTACACCCCTAAAATAGTTCATTCTGCTTCAAGCACCCATTTAAAGACTGCTGGACCAGCCTTACCGAGGAGAGGGCAGAGGATAAGCTGACCCACAACTCGATGACAATGCAGTGCCGGCTCCAGTAAAACCACACCAACCCCAGGCGGATCTCTCACGCTGAGAGCAACCAGGAGGTTGCTGTCAGCTGGAAGCTGAATTACATGGGATAGGAAGTCTTTGGAGCACTTTCCTGTCACTCATCTGTCAAAAACAGAGCTTGGGGACAGCAATGTGAAAAAATTGAGCTTCATTTTTTGGATTCATATTGGAGTTGCCTCTTGTCATGAATGTTTCTGAATTTTTTAAAAAGCAGGTAGTTGTTATGGTAATTAGCACTCGGCAGGTTTAAAATGAATTCGGCTTTTTTTTTTTGTTCAGACTAAGCTACAAGGGGATAGGAAAAAAAAAAAAGCAGAAGAATCCTTAAAGCAAATGATTTTGGTACATTAAAACATAACTGAGTGAAGCAGCCTTTACTGTGTAACTTGTAAACTCCAGTGCGGAAAACCACGCGTGGGTCTTATCACAACCGGCAGCTCCTACTACTAGAGCTAACAGGCAATGCTAACATTTCTAAGGGTGGGATAGGCAAAAAAGTTTTCCATTATATCCACAGGATGAATGCAAGGCCTTTGAAAGGCTACAGCAATTGTTCAGAGCAGTTCTCACTTTCAGCAGGTTCTTTACCTGAGTTTTGAGGCACCTTAATGCCAGATCAGTAGCAAGCAATTTCTCCTCCTCGAAAGGGTACTTTGAGTAACCACGTTCAGAATGGCTGGGCTTCCCTATCTTCCAACAACTTGCAACTGCACCTTGGAAGAAAATAAAGCTACTTACCCTAAGAAAATCCCAAGAGAGAGTTGGGAATAGAGGCTAAATCTTGACTTCCGATACATTGTCTTATCCATAGGGCTGTCCTTCCTTCCCTCCTCCATTCCGAATCTGGAAATGTCAGCCTGCCAGGATCTTGCTGAGATGGAAGTTACGGGGATAAGGAAGCACACCCCATCGCACGCTGCCAGCTGCAGACGGCTTACCAAGAGAAGCTCCCTGCCTTCCAAAGGGACCCAAGCAAAAGGTGAGTAAAGGGCGGGCACTAGCTGGGCTGTCAGAGTGCTTCGGCAGCATCTTGAACGTGTATCTTTCAAGTACTCGGAACTGCCAACGTGTGCAGTGCTAATGCTGCGCTCGAGGCTCAAAGCACTCAAGGACTCTGTGAGCCTCTGCTCAACAAAGCAGGGACTGCGCTGGAGAACAGGGTACCCCTGAGTGTGAAGCAACACTGCCACATTTTAGGAGGGTTTTCAGTGTCCAAACAGAGACTAAAAATACATGAAAATATGCTTGTAACAAGAGGAGGCTGATCGTTCAATACACTAGATTTTTTTCATGATCGAATACTGGAGATCACTCTAGTGGAAGAATGGAGGAAATGAAGACTCAAGGGTGAACCTTCTGTGATATTTAAAATATCAGCTGAGGTATCGAAATAAGAGAAAGCTTTCTTAAAAAAAAAAAAAAAAAACCACAGAACAAAACAAAACCAAAAAGCATCACACCAAAAAAATTCAGTGACCTCCTATGTAAAGATACTTTCATATTTTGTGTTTAAAGGGACAAGAGTAAAATATTTCTTCTCCTCTGTCCCACCAGTCCTCATTCGATTATGTGCTTTTTAATTTTCAGTAATACCTTGATTTCTCCAGGTGCATGGAGTAACTTCACAGAACTCTATTAACTCAAAGCTTTCTAAAAAACAGTTGGACAAAGGTTTAAAAAAGGAAAAAAAAAATACTTTCAGGTCACATTATTTCATGTAACTTAAATTTAAATGTTTAGACTAAAGTAGTTTACCATGCAAGCTGCAAGTCAAATCCTTTCAGTACAGGAAGCAGGCAACATCTTCATTAAAGCCCTTCCAAGAGACAGAACTCCTGTTTGCTGCAGAGTGAGCTATGGTCTTTCCTTTCTAGAAGTGGATTCAATATCCCCAAAGGAATTTTTTAGTCATGGTCTGCCAACTTGCATTGCTTCCAGGCTGGAATGTAGCCCTTTGTTTTGTAAATGTATTTGATTACTGCTTTTTCCTTTTGACAAGTGCTTTCATGTATTAAAGAAGTCATTGTTACTTTTTTCAGTGGTAATTGAGGGATATACCAAGTTCTCCCTTAGAAAGCCTCATTAACCTTTGCCCTCCATATTCTTCCCTTCTTCCTGTTCTTAATCAGATTCTAATTTTTATTACCTATTATAACAGTTTATTAACTTTCAATTCTATGAATGCTGACTAGTGTCCCTAACTACTCTGAGGTTTAACATTATCCTACCCACCTTTTCTACCAATTTTGATCCTTAAATTCTGGGACAAAGGGCTCAGCTACTTCTAGAAATGGAGCACCACATTCCAAGTGCAATGATCACATCTATTGTAACTTTTTTTTTTTTAATACAAAAAAAAGCCTACACGGAACTTCTAAGAAGTCAGACCTGTAACTTGCTTAAGTCCACTGCAGTGCAAAAGGGTGAGGCAATGGAGTTAGTGTTCAGTGACTTGGTTCATCTTATTGGTATAGGTATCAGATTAACCTGGTGACATCAAGGTAACTTTTTACCCAAACAAAAAGTATCTAAAGCTAGAAAATACCTACATTGCACTTACAGGTACATCTCAGTCAACAGAAAGGCCACTCAAGCTTCCCTTATGTTGACTACATAAATACAAGAATATTTTAATACAGTTCAATTATTTTCCAAGAGTTTCAGCTCTTGACAGAGATGTGACCCTGTTTGAAATCATTACGGGGAAATTGAGACTAGTTTTCAGTTTCAAAGCAAGTATCTACAAATGCCATAGTCATTCTGTGAATACCATCAGTGCAGACCTCACTGGAGAAGAGAAAATGAAGAGCACTGCTATCCTGGAGAGCCCTTCCACAAACTGCGCTGCAGTGTCTGAACTCTCTGAACTCTATGGAGGCTCCTGCTCAGCTCTCCTTCAAAGAGCCAACAGCAGCAAGCCATGGGTTTCCATGTAACTAGACCTATTCCAAAGGATGGCTCCTAAAGAACTTCATACACCTTTTGCCATAAGTCTGGGGACCATATGTTTGTTAAGGTATCTCCAGAGTACCATCCGGACAGTCAGAAAGCTGTAGGCATCTAAGAGTTATAAATTAATTATTTAGAGCAATCTGAAAATCAGATTAAAACTATTCAGTCTTGATTTCTCTGAAATTAACTAAATGCCTAAATGTGTATTAATATTTTCCATTAAAAAATACTTCCATATTGAATCTGCGTATAGTACTGCCATTCCTCTAAAAGGTGTGGGAAGACAGATCACATGAAATCTACACCAAAGGTAGTTGAAAAGTCCATTCATAAAACTTTTATTCCACTTACATCAACTTAATACACATGTTCTGAACAGTTATGCTTGGATTGTTCATGAAAATTTCATAAGACATTAAACAAAGCTAGCCATCATCTCAAGTTATTTCCCTGTTAACTATTTTTACAGCACATGCATGTTAGGCAAGTATCAAAAAAAAAAAAATCACAAAAGCAAAAAACCTAAAAAAGTTAAATACATGGGTTTTTGTTTTACTGCTGTGCTCGATATACAGTGTCATTATGGATATCAAGCATTCATTTTTTACTGCATCTTTACTTGTACATTTGTTCTTAGGTTGCTTAAACCATTTAAATACAAATAAAATGTGTAGCAAAAATAATGAAAGCAACAGCAGGTAACTTTACAAATAATGGAATGTGAACCGTTTCTCTGTCCTTCTCTAGAGAAAGGTGACTGGGTTATCAAACTGTCTTAAGGAACACTTCAGCTGCAATCAAAGATGTACACTTGATTGGTACATTCCACAGATTTCACATGTTGACTTGACATGCAATATCTATGGGACATCAGTTTATTCACAGCCATGTGTGCTCCAGCTTGGATACTCATGCTAACTACACCTGTGGCTGCAACTGATTATCCCTTTTTTCCATCATGACAGACCAATATGCAAGCAGTCATCTTTGCTTGACATAGAAAGCTGTTTTAACACTGGCCTTGTGGGAAGCCACAATGTACCAAAAGTACTATGCCAAACATGTAAAACTTGTATAAAAATTTCACAACCCTATATTGGCCACCTCAGATGAAAACAGATAAATTCCCCAAATGTTAACTGGCTCTATTCCCCTAATATTAAACAAAACCACATGGGAAATATAGAAATCCAAATAGAAGTAACATAAACCTGTCAAATCGTAAACAAAAACTATTTGTGGGACAGCATGGATGACAAATGGTCTACTGTGTAAATTTCAGAATGAGGCAGACGGAAGTTGGAAGGCTGGTTAATTCTCCCCTCCCTCTCCTGCTTCAGCTTCATCTCCCTGGGTATCCGATGTCCACAACTGTTTGGGAAAGAAAAATGAGTAGAACATGTAAGATATTAACATTTACGACTGATAATACAGAATTATTAAACAGAAAGCCTGCTTCTGAAATAATAATTTTGCAAGAGGTCCTAAAAAGCACCATGGAAAAGAATCAGACGTTAGCATTCATGTATTTATCTTTGCAGGGAAGCAGAAAAAATAAATTGTTATTACTTCTACACATGACAGAACTAGAATCCTAGTCTTAGGTGACCCAACCCTACACTGACTGAATGAGGAAGTTCATGAACAGTCAAAACCAAAGTCTCGTATCCACAAGGCTCACTAAAATACAATTCTGAGCAGGCAAGAATCAGACCTACAGAACAGATACATGAGAATCAGGAACTAAGAATATTTCATTTCCTCTGGATTTGTACCTTCTCCTCAAGTGAGCTTTATGCATCTTTCTGAAGGAAGAACTTCAGTAAAGGTCTCTCTCCACAACCAGCATTAGAGTGAATGCTACCTTTTCTTCAGAGGGTTTTAGTTTTTTGTTGTTGTTTTTTTTTAAACCAAAAACATTTCACTGAAATCTCTATCCCTTGGCTCTACTCAGTCAATCGTGCCCCCCTTTAGCAACTTTTGGACCACAGAGCTTTCAAACTTGGAGCGCAGGGCAAGGAGGAAAGAAAATAACACTAAACATGCAGTATGCACAAAATCTTATTTTTAGTTCCATAAAAAAGTCATACTAAGGAGCCATACATCAAGATTAAGTACCAACTAAGGAAACTAAGGATCAGTTCCAGAGCGACACCCAGTGCAAAGAAATTTTGTGAACCAAGTATTTTGCCACGCTGGCTGCTTCCAAACCATTACCAGCCCAGTATGATTTGTAGTCTCTCACTTTATGGAGTTACAGCAGCATTAACCGAATCCTTAACACTGTATCACATAAAGTGGTAAAACCTAAGAACAATTAATTCTCTCTCTACCTACAGTTTTATACCACTATGGTCTCACAAGATGCTTAAAAAAAAAAAAAAATCCATAATCAGAAACATTTTATCCTTTCCAGGAGGACAAGACAATAGAGAAACTTGCAGAAGACTTGTTCTTGCTCTGAACATAATACATGATATCTGTATTAAATGGTCCTGCCTGAAGGCATTAAGCAACAAATTAGTTTACTGGAAACAACAGCATATTCATCCATTTCTAGCCCCTGCACTACCTTCTGTACTACATTCTTCTCAATTTCAGTGCTGTTCTTGTGAGTAATAATAAGAACAATTTTATTGGAATTTCATCAGAGGCTTTTATCCTAAATTCTCACTTCTAGAGTATCTACAATATGTACATATGCATGCCTTTGTTCTTTACATAAAAAGGGCCTGACCAGTATGAAAGGAGGATAAACAATTGAGAGGACGGTTTACTGAATCTGCTGGGAAAAAAAATACCCATAGGGGCAAGGGATGCCTTTTTAAAGCAAAGACAGAAGTAGCTAGCAATCCCAGTAGAACAGATTTTGACTTGATATATTCAACAACTCTCTGAATACTTTTCTGCCTTCATTCCCCCCCGCCATTCAATGAGAATGAACACAGACTCTTCTTCAGCCACACAAGACTCAAAGTCAAGAGGATCCACTGAGGAAACCGCTCCTGTACATAACTGATCAACACGCTGAATCACTATCAAAAGCCTGCCTCCCAGATTGTAACAGATTTGCTAACGAGCAAAACAGACCTTTCTTTACATTTATGAAATTCACTTCAGTCTTTGTCAGTTGTACATACATCAAAAGTTATTTTCTACCTCAAGAAGAAAATGTTTCAAGCAGAAACACCTGTAATAAATGCATTCATGCAGGTCATGCTAAGCACTGAAGGCAAGACCTATCATTCATTCAAGAATATGGAATCCCACAGCTGTCTACAGCTTTCTCCCTCATAAGGGAAAGCTCACATCAATTATCAGGCCTACTACCATAATTTACACACTGTGATAGCGCAGACCAACTTTTGCTCTTTAATGAAACACTTTGCTTTACATTTGTTCTACTGGGAAGCTAGCAATTCAAGTCAGCTTCTATTCTCTGTTTCAATACCACTCATTCAGAGGACAGCTCTTGAGCAATCTCACTCAAGGGGACAGTGCACAAAGACGTTGAGAGCGATGCCAACCCTGTATCTGTCTCCGTTACAGAGGCTGAGAAATCTCTTCCATTTGTTTTGTAAGCAACAGCTGGAACAATCACAAGTAGTTTTTTCAGTAAAGTTGCCATTCTAGTAGAAAAGGTTCCAAGGAACAGTGAAATAAAGTGTCAGAATCAAAAGCAGAAAATGGGGCAACTCAGGTTTGATGCAACTGTACAGCTTCTAGTTATGTTAAAAGAAGTCCAGCTATTTTGTAAATGTCTCTGATATCAGATGCACAGAATGTGAACAAGGGGCTACATCTGGTGACAAGAGGTGCTTCGCATTTTTTCAGTTCCGGCTTGCAGCTCTCCCTTCCCCCAGTGAAGACCTGGGAGGGAACGGCACCATTACTTCCACTGTTGCACGTTTGCTTACATTTACTGTTTCCTTTGCTTTAGATGTTTATCTTTGCCAGTTTTAAAGTTCAAAGTACCCCCCCCCCACCCCATGAAGATTTTGATTACTCTGACAGAGCAACACAATCTTGATCTATAACTTACACCACAGACAGCTATGGGTCCAATTAAAAAAAAAAATTAGAAGAGTTGTTTTATGACTACCATGGAAATAGCCTGGCTAGAGCAGATTCCAATTTCAGCTTTACCAAAATTAAAACTAAACAAAAAACCCCAAACAACAGGCCCTTAAATGGACTTGCTAGCTTTGTTTGTAGTTTCTGTAGGATCTATTCCCTGCACAGTGAATCACACAGAATAAGCTACATGAAATTTGACATAAAAGTTTTGAAGAGGCAAATGCGACTATTCTCAAATGCTGTTTAACAAAAGATGATAGCTTTGCTAGTCACAGTCCAAACTACTTAAACACACTAAATTCCTTGAATTAAAAAAAAACTTTAAAAATGTGGTCAATTTGCCATGTCAGAAAACTGTGTTAAGCAGCATGCAGACAAAAAAGACCAGGCAGGAGAAAAAGATGTAGCTCAGAAATATGATGAACTGTAAACTCATCGAAGTAAATGACAGACATCTCCACAGCTAAGAACGAACAGGACAACTCCGATCATCACACAGACCAATGCCGCTACCAACAATATACAAACTTTAACGATACTCACTGTCAAGTTGTCTCTCAGTAACTGCATTATTAGCGTGCTGTCTTTGTATGACTCTTCACTTAATGTATCAAGTTCAGCAATTGCTTCATCAAAAGCCTAGTGTTATAAAAACAAAAAACTCCATTGGCCACGCGGCAAAAGGTTACACAAATAATTTAAATGGCATTTCCCCCCCTTTAGACTTACCGTTTTTGCAAGGGAACAGGCTTTCTCCGGGGAATTGAGAATCTCATAATAAAACACGGAGAAGTTTAGAGCCAGACCTAATCTGATAGGATGTGTTGGCTGCATCTCCTTTTTACTGATTTCAAAAGCTTCTTGATATGCTTGTTGTGATTGCTCCACTATCCCTTTTTGGGGAAAAAACAAACACACAAAAACCACAACAGGTAAGTAACTCCCATACTGTATTCAGACATACAATTAGGACCGTGTTCACACTTGCACAAAGTATGCTAACAGTGAACACCTCTGAATGAGCACTTCACCTAAAAAGTCACTATTTTATGAAGATTTTACTAAATTAGATTTTTAAATTATTAAAAAAGGAAGTTGTCATTGACCAAGTCACAAGTTTGAGTCTCTCCCTGCCACCCTGTGACTACTTGTATTTACAGATGCTTGCACCAGTTTTGTAGTACGTAAGGAATGCAAACCCCACCACCTCCATGAAAAAGGTACAAAACTGAAATTTTAACTCCACACAGGTTTGATGTGGTACCAAAATTTCACTGTCTTTAAATGCTGTAAAGCATTACAGATCCACATTTCAGCCACAGAAAACACTGGTGACCTTTGCCTATCATGCTGAACCCATTCAGTTAACAGTCATCTGTGAATTCCCACTCGCATTGCTTGGCAAAGATAGCTTGGCATACATCAACCAGAACTAAATGTATCTTTTTAAAAGCTTCCAACATAGTTCCACTTCCAATGCAGATATGGAAGGCATTTTTAACTAATTTAAAAGTTCTAGTACCTATAATTTTCCTGCCTTATTTCAAAGTTTAACAATTGGTCTATTTTTTTCATAGATTAAGCTTTTGCCATTCTCTTAATTGGTTCAATTGTACAAGTTATAAATGTTTGGTGGAAAAAACCAACTCTACTGCATATACTAAGATTGAAGAGCTCAATGATTTCCATTCTCACTGAATGCACTTGAACTTCTGAGCAGACTGTGCCTGCACGAGTCAGAGATCACGGCCCAGCACAGCCCACAAGCTGGACTATGCCCTTGATGATTGCAGGAGGCAAGAGACATCCTAGACGCCAAGCACAAAGGGAGCATTGTTCCTGCACTCTCCAAGACTGTTAATAGCATCTGAGAAAGAGGTGGGCAGGAAGTAATTCAATTCAGATGCAAAAGAATTCCAATCCTAACATTTCTGGATCAAACCAGCAATGCATTCAGCACGATCTCTGCAACAGCGCCAGTCACGTGTATTCAAAAATAAAGGAAGGAATTCTAGACTTTTAGACTAAGGACTCAAAAATACGTAAGTATTTCAGTCAGAAGTACTCAAAGTCTGAGAATGACTGAATACCAATATTCAGGATGTCTATGCAATCTCCATTTGTTCACCTTTATGTATTCAAAAAAATTAAAGCATCGTATCGTCCTCTTCAACATGGAACAGGGAGGACACTCACTGCACAATTATTCAACACTTTGTCCTTTCTACCCTCTTCAACATGGAACAGGGAGGACACTCGCTGCACAATTATTCAACACTTTTTCCTTTCTACACTCATTAATAATGGAGTGCTTCAGAAAAATCAGACAGCTGCCATAATACCTTGAAAGTGACCAGAAGTTTGCACGTTACAGCTAAGAAGAAGCAGGTTTACTGTAAGTTAGATTTAAAAATAGTGAGAAGTGTTTTCGATAACCAAAAAAACCTTAGAAAATGGCACTGTTTATGAAAGGCAAAACAAGCAGCATGAGAAACAAGTAACTTCAAGGAATGAAGCCAAGCATTTTCATTTTTAATAGTTTTTCTTTAACAGAAATAGCTTCCAAAAAAAGGCATATTTTTTTCTCCTTATTTGAAAAAATGCAGTTACCTTCTGAATAGTGATTCGGGGAACTTAGTGCAAGATTTGATATATTCCTTTAAATCAGTCACCCAGCATAAAAAAAGTTGCAAGGTTTTTAACCTTGAATTCTTTAGAAAGCGTTATACAGTTCCAAAGTTCAAGACTAAAAATAGTAGGGTGAGGCACCTGCTTGACATTCCTATCCGCTAGATTGTTGTAAGAAAACCCCAGTCGATAAAATAAACAATCTAGTTTATGAAGACAAAAACCAAATTCCTAGAGTTGTGAGCTTTATACTGTTGCTGTATTTACTGCAAAAGGCTGAAAGAATACAGTACAACTAAATGGCCATTATTTCCTAAATAATTATCAACCTTACCGCTCTTTTTCAAGGTCACAGACAGCATACAAGAAAAGCCTGTGACAAAAAATACTTAGAGGAGAAAAAAAAGTTTATGAGCTATAGCAACTATGAGCTAGATGGGCTTTCAAAAGACTTTCTTCACCTGGAAAACCAGTAAAAACCACTCAGCCAGGAGACGGAGTTAAATAAAAATGAACTTCAAAACCACTTTAAACAAAGATTTTCACAGTCTAATTTTAGAGCCTGCAACTTAATCCTCAACAGAAAAAGAAACTTTGGGACTCAAATATTGTACTTTCTATGCATGTGAATATAGATTCCTAAAAGGAAAAGAGAATTACTCTCTGTACAGTAACAGATCTGGAGTACTGGTTACACATGCAAATCTGCAGTCACCGAGACTGGGTTGCACGCAGTAAGCATTACAAGTCAAATGAAGCCCTAAGTTTTAGTATCTTTATGCAAGTCCCTATTATCCAGCATATTGGGAAAAGACCACAGCAGCATCACACGTTCAACAGTGCCACAAGGAACCTAGCAAGTCCTACAAAAGGGCAGAGTGCTCCTGACCATCAGCTGCACAGCTGAACAGTTCTCCAGTAACCGCCGAGGGTCCAGTCCACGCACTCAGATCATCTGCACGCTTCCACACATCCTGTACTTCTGCAGACTGAACTGAGTCTGCAAGGAAACAGCTCAGGGCTAACAGAAGTTACCAGATTGGGCTCTGTGCTGAAAGGCGCTGCTCTCCGGGGGGATGCTGCTGCAAGTCCTAAACTGGCTCCAGGAAACAGCTGAGCACTGTTTGCAGTGAGCTGTATTTAAACATCATGAATTGTTCTGAATTGAAGGTGACTCCGCATGGAGTCAGCATGTTGTTACAAGTGTCTCTTCAGCTGTAGCAGTTAAGACACCTAAATATATTAAGCGTCTTATATTAACTTTTCTAACTAAATTTAGGTGAAGGCAACTTACCTGCAATTATAACAAGCTGCTTACATGAAGATAGAAGAAACTTGAGAAAATAAAAAACATTTGGACATTAAACTACCATGATTATGGAAGAAATTTTCCTAACAGTAAGATTAGTTTTATCAATCCTTTTCTTTTCTGCATGGTTGCTAGTCTCTTTGCTCGCTGAACCTATGCAGACTTTTTGTATTCTGTAGAAGTGCAGGAGAAATAGCATGAATAAGACTTCAAAAAGCTTCAAGACTTTGTCCCCCTACAGAGGTAAAAAACCAAGACTCAGCCAGACAGAAGATGCATAAACCTATACTTCAGTGATAAACCAGATGCCTGCATGCCTAAGTTGGAGTTCATTTCAAGATTTTGTGACTGAACATCTGTTCCCTGCTTCAAACGGCAGAGGTACATGGAAACTTTCCTAACTCATTTGAAAGCTAACGACCTATGATTTTTCTTCAGAAAACAGGAAGCCTATTACTAAAGAAATTTACATCCAAATCAGAATTATTCTAAAATTAGAGTTGTGTCACCACCCCACCAAAAGCAATCTAATTTGACAATATTTAGCCACAAGCTAATATACAGTACCTTTCTTGTCATCTCCAGCAGCAACCTCAGCCAAGTAACGGTAGTAGTCTCCTTTCATTTTCAAATAGAAAACTTTACTTTCTGCTTGCGAAGCATTAGGGATCAAGAACTTTTCCAACAGAGACTAAAAGAGAAACAAAGAACATAGTGTTTTAAACATACATACTTTCACAGCACCAACAATTCAATTATACTACAATCTATTTCAAAGTCAAGACAGCTTTACTTTTTGCCTTTTTTCTTCACATCCTACACAACAAATCTGGCTAAGGAGAAGGTGTTCTGGATCACAGTTCTAGGTACAAAAAAAAAGAAGGCTGCATGCTGTGACTTGATGGGGAGAAGGTGGCTGTGTTAATTTAGCAGATGAGTCTTGTATGACCAATGGAAGGGCTTCTGTAAACTGTTATGCAGTACCCTGACAAAAACACGGTCTGGGCAGACGGTAAACAATGGAAGAAAGTCTGCATCAACAGAATATAATAAAAGAATCAGCTGCCAAATCAAAGACCCAAATGTCTTACACACACAGGCAAGAAATAAGCCTCATTAACCTAGTTCCCATTAAATGGAACGCTGTCCTAGCACTGCCAGCAAGAAACGACAAGGTGAACCTGGATTCTTGCACTTCCAGATGGCTGACAATCTGACAACCAGCTGTGTAGCACTGGAAATGATTGTCTACTCGACTTGATGTGCTGCCCTAACAGGTGTTTCCTATATCTTCCAAACCAAAAGGTAGCTCTCTGGAGTCGCTCCACCAAATCCTCCCTGTGAGCTGTCAGTTAAGACCAGGTTTTTCTAGATTATTCTAACTGATTATTAAATTAACATAGCAAGTTCCCAGCTGAGGCAGTAATGTAATTTAGCAAGAGTTCTATTATGATGAAAAGAAAAAAGGGGAAAAAAAGAAAATCACTAGATCCAGCACATTTAGTCAAATTAAGGTACAAGCTTGTCAAACTTCTTGATATTGAGTAATTAGCAGACTTTGAAAGAAAAGCCAGTTATTTAACAGCCAGAAAAAGTGCAAAAGTACTTTTGAATACTCAAAATTAAATCAGAAGCTGTTACATATACTTTACTAAGTTTACATAGCAAACAATTTTTTAAGAGGTTTCAGTAAACATTTTTGGGTGTCTTTTTCCCCCCTCCGTAAATCAGGTGACTGACATTTCAGTTTTGCCTCACTGTTTTTAGCTCATATTTCCAATGACACCACAGAAATGGACAATCTATTTCAGTTCCAACCCACAGAAGGATGGCTGCTTTACAGTACCTTCCTCTAGGTAGCACCCTGCAGTTTAAGTGAGTATCTTACACCACATACTCCTGGGACGGGCATACCCTGAATACGGTAGGCTGTAACCACTGCACTGGGACACAGGTACTCACGGTACTTGCTCTGCTTAACAGGCCAACTGACATAAAGCTGTTCGTAACTCACAGAAAGGGCAAAAAGAGTGGACAAGTTTGGGTGCTTGAGGCTTTTTGTTTTATTTGGAATTAAAGTACTGCTATAATTCATTTATATAAAAAATTAATATTTAGCCTGGTAGCCTCAACCTTGTATGAAACCCTTCAAAATGAGGTGACCTATTATGGCAGCTCTCCCTCATTTCTATCTCAGCAGACAGGATAATGAAGAAGTCCATCTGACAGAAACCAAATTCACACAAGGTCCTGCTATGCCTATGCTCCAATGAGAGACAAACCTGTTAGTGGACTTTCTTTACTAGCTTCAACATAATGGAAGGTATTTATTCAATCATCTTTAATATTAGACATTTCCAGTATTGTAGGGGTTGGTACATAGCATCATTTTATAACCATGCAGGGAGACATTAAAAAAAAATACTGCCTGTCCTTGCTTCCCATCTGCATGACAGCAGACACAATCCTTTGGCAACGAAGGAAACACAAACACAAGCACATCAGCAGCAGAAGTATATTTATGGAGCCAGTCAAATGGGCTGCCAAGCTGCCTCACACCAAGGGCATCCTTCTGGAGGGCACACCGCTATGCAAGGAGAAGGGTTCAGACCCACCTCTGGCCCAGCGTGGCTGGAACAAAGCAGAAAGCTGTAAGGTCCAGAGAGCTGAAGCGCGTGAGCTGTGTAACTACTTACACGCTCTGTTCTCACTATTAGAGAACTTCAAGTTTCACAGCTATGACATTTTTCATCAGTGCCAAGAAACTCTGACTTCAATGACAAATGAAGGTTCCCAGCTACTGAGAATAAAGCTCCTTATTAGTTTTTCTCCGTAGGACTGCAATTAATGCAGGTGTGTCAGTCTGCACCTACCCTTCTGGCACCATGGGGAGCTGCCCTCCTTCTGTACCCTCCATTAATTGGTCAGACCGAAATATTGTCAGTGATTCTAGAAACAGAAACTATTCATCATCTGTACAGAAGGTTGGTTGATATGAAAGTACAGCTCTGCTCACTCCCACAGCAGCAATCAAACTTCCAGACTTCACTTAGGTCACAAGTAAGGTAAAGTTGTTTGCAAACAGCTAATTGCAAATGGGTGAATTGCACCAGCAGATAGAGAAGAGGGAAGATTTCCAATTGAGAAAGTCTTCCTAATTATATAGATACTAGCAGGGCAACAGCAGCTCGGACAGTGCATAAACCTTGTATTGAAAAAAAAAGTTTTAAACCCATGTCAAATTTAGAAGACTGGCTATTCATAGAATACAGCCTAGGCAAAGAGGCTCCTCCACACTGCACTGGTAGCTTGCTCATATCGGGATGAAAGACTCTATTCTATACAAGCAACACGTAGGACTGATAGGCTGCGCATATCTTTGGGAGAATTTATGCCAAATGCTTCATAAACAGCAACAACAAAACCTGAAAGCAGATTAACATTTAAAAGCTAGCATGTGAAATGACAAAGGAGTCTCTCCCCTATTATTTATCTTACTAGATAAATACTAGATATATATATATCTAGT